GAGCATATCTGATGTTCCTGCTTTGAACACTCTTAGACACCGTACTGACCGACAAAGTGTCAAACCGTATCATGAGAATATCGGCGTTAGCTTTAACTATCCCGAGCTACATTGCAGGCATGTACAGTTGCTTTTGACGTTAAATGCCGAATTGTACCTAATTTTTTCAGCCCCTAAAAATATCTTCTAAGGAATAAAGTAAGTAACAGAAGAATGTCCTGGAAGAACGAACGCCTTATCTTTCAGCCTGGCGCAATGATATTTTGCTATCACACTAAAATTTCAACCCCGCAAATAAACTTATGTCATACACCGATGTGTCGTAGACTGCATTAAAGCGATTTGTGATGAAACTTTCGCGACATCGTCTTGTTGCTTGCTTTTTTCTTCTGAACACTTATTCTCAGCACTTTCACGCCATAGCATCACGGGCCCTTACTAATAGCGACATTCCTATCAATGACGCGCTTTGTCTTCTTATTCCAAGGACAGGGATACACAGTAATGAAATCATAAACATTTGTATTATTCCTCTAGCATGTCACTCGATCGACATTCACCGCGGGAAGCACAACGACTGGACTATATCTCACATGTCACAACAGATATGCAATACATTAAGAAAAATTCAAATGGCATAGCTGACGTTATATCCCAAAAATGTCTGTCATCTAGACCAAGGCCCGAAAATGAGTTGAGCCAACATAGTAAAGCTGAAAGTAGCTGATACTGGTTCAAAATTATGCAAGGAAAGTCTATACTAATTGCTTAACAGGTCCCATTTCTTTCATTCGATCTCACTGTCATTTGTGATGTTTTAAAAGATACTAGGCATTCTCTGGAGTAGGCTACAAACGTGTATCTCAAAATTTCTACTCGCTATCACACCCTGGAATTTCGAGCGAACACCAAAAGCATAAATGAACACTTTGCTTGGCATGCTAAACTCAGATAAGGACTTTCATGGAACGACAATGCAACAATGTTTAACAGCACACAATCAAAACACTCGATGATTTCCTGACGCTAGATACATGGATTCGACACGTGCATTTGGGCATTATCGAAACCATTTCGTTATTCAGTCCTTCCACTCAGACAGATAGATATACCTGATGAACCATAGGCTGCCCCATAGACGATACTTCAGCAGTCTTTATAGAACTAGAATTTTTTGACTGTTAGACGGCAATAAAAACGTATGTGAATGCTTTGTAATTAGTAAGTATCAAGATATATCTGCTTTACAGCAAAGGCCAGAATTCTTGACAGCCACGTAAACGACTAGAATGTCTCTCCTGAATGTGCTAAACATCGTTTGAGCGGGCTCGAGTTTTGAGGAAAAATTAAGGAGTCTAATTTCAATAATTACTCGACATCGTGACGCCAGGTCCATGAATACATTGGAAGCGTTTGGTTACAAAACCAGCGTCGGCTTTGGGTCTAGACTTAAGTGGTACAGCACCGTAGTGTAAGAGATCTCTTATTCGTATGCAAACAAAGCATCTTTCGCTTCGTAAGATAACATAAACATTTCGTCCCTGCTTTTTATTCTCTGAGTTGACGGTTGTAGGATGGCTGAATAATCCAAAGTGAACCGACGATGAAAATTGACATATCTCCAGCTTTTGGTATTGGGTATCAGGCACGTACTGGATTTATTTCCTGAAAATGAGCTTTACATTTGGATCCAATGAGATTTCCTGAATGTGCTGGTCCATATATCTATCTAGTTTTAATATAATGTTAAGACTTCCATAATCCCAACAAGTATGCCAGTCCCTATCTCTATTATCATCCTTCTTCACTGCTAAATGTAGATACAATGTACACGGGCTGCCAGAGAGGCAGATGATTCCGGGCTTCATTCCAGGCCTCGATTCTATCTTGGCGCAGCGAATAAGTCAGGTGCTAACCTCCGTGAACGTGACATTGTTGGTTGTTGTTTCATCAAAGTATAATTTACTACTGATTATTTAACTTTATTATCTCGGTATGTTGGTTTTGTGTTTTTGTGATATTTTTGGACAACAAATATAAAACCATCGTTTGTCGAGGTGTTAATCCCGATTCTGTGCAGCTGGTGGTTCGAACAAATACCTTGACCCTGTAGCTTTGTGCAAGATTCAATGAGCTCATTCTTCACTTAACATGGACAAGCAGATTATGTATTCCAAAAATTTTCACCAAATATAGTGTATCGAATTTACACTACTGTAAATACACAGCACAAACGACGCCCGATACCTAGACTAAAAATAAGCATTTACTCGTTGAATGTTCTCATTTGATTTTATTTGCAGCACTCCAGTAAATACTTACTAGTCATATTTATTGGTCACCGAGCTAATGTAACTGGGATTATTCAGAATTCACTGCCCGTATATACCATAAACTATGAACCGAAAGTCTTAACCAGTACATAGAAAAAATGACTGAAAGATCGAAAAGTAGAAACTATCGTCACTACCATCAGGTATCCTTGTTTTTTGACAGCGAAAGAGTCTTATAAAATTTTCAGGTTGTCACGCATTATTCTGTTTCGTTTGTGTATCCGCGGAGCTACCAACTGAATCTTAACCCTATCTAATACATTCAAATTCAGATAAATACACTGTGAATATGCAAAACAATCACTTCCAACAGGAAAAGGCGCCGAAATGTTAGTGAATGGATCAAAAACTATCGCTTCGAGGAAAAATATTAAACTCTTCATATTTTCGGTGGCCCATACAAATGGGTATATTCAAGATAGAGTATTACGCACAGTTATTAATAAGCCAAAATAAACATTATAATGTAAATTATTCTGGACAGGAGTCCTATTTAGTGTAAAAAGACACAAAACGATGATATAACCTCATAACAATTTTCCGTCACAGGCTGTTACCAATAAAGCAAAAGAATAGTCGATTGAGACAGAATTCACTTTAATACCAAAGGAGCGTATGTAAAAACCAGTAAATTAATGTCTGTTTACGAGCGATATAGATAAACGATAGATATTGAGTGAAAATATGGCTACACGTAAAGTGTCACGAACAAAGTGAAAACAATTTTTCTTCGTTTTGTTGTTACAAAAATCTTGGAATGTAAATGTTACTATTATCGTGCTGAACCAATAAACCACAAAATGCTCAGACGACGTGTATTTGACAATAAACACAAAGGCTCTAGGATTTTGATTTGTTTAATTGTAACTTTTCATTCTTACAATCATTGAGATGAGGGTTAATTTATGAATAATGAGTACTGAATATTAGCATGAACTTTTTGACGAGGGTTATTCGGATGCGTGGTGTTCCGTAATTTGTTTGCGCTGGTTTCACTTTGAACTAGTTTTGTAATAATAGCCGGTGTGAATGCATGTTTAAACAACCTATGTGTGATTTCTTAAAAAAACGGGATTCAGGTTGATATGACGTTAAAACTATGAGATTAAAGCTCTAAAACCTTTTCTAAAATCTGGAACACACGAAAAATAGAACAAAAGTAAACATTCCTTCAGAAAATAAGAAGAAACAAAGCGAAAACCATCGTGAGGTCGCTGCTACTGATCTCTGTAGGGAAATAATCGAGGCGTATCCATTTTTGTTTTTCTGCAGTTCATGTATTTACTGAAAACCTTCAGTAGTTAGGATATTAGTTTTATAAACCTATATTGATTTTTGAAGTCTGTAATGTTGAAGCTCAATTACCGCTTTTAAAACAGACTGTGCTGATAATACGTGTTCTGGCAGAGTATTTCAGTGATTTACTGCCTTTTGCGAGAAACGGAACTCTAGACGTAAACGACTTGATCTCGTTTTATGAACTTTCTTATAATATCAGCCCGGATGGTCATTTCTAAATGGGAGAAAAAGATAAGGCACAATAATGTCAAAATCGTCGGTCGTTATGCGACCTTATACCATTTCGTTCTCTCTCCATTGAACTGGTTTTTGCAAATAACGCCTCATATTTGAAAGAAGGACTGACTTCATGAATCCAATATTCCAAAAGAGGCTTCACAAAGTCAGGTGTAATACTACAAACATTTTTTCGTCCAAGTGTTGAAACGACGTACGAATACGCCAAGAGACTTTGAAACCTTTGACGTCGACTGCGTTGTAAGCACTCTCTGTTTGAGGTCGTTGATTATTAACACTCCTAGGTCCTTAAAGTCCATTACTTTAGGTAACACAACTCCATATGTTGTGTAGTGATATTGATCGTGGCATTTATTAGTTTTCATCCTCACATTCTTGTTAGAGTTAACTTCTAATGATCACTTATCCATCTATTCAACCATTGAAGTTATGTGATCCCGTAATATTTATCTATTTGACCTACTATTTATGAGTCTCAAAATCTTTATGTCATTTGAACAGAGTAAAACAGATGAATTTGCTGCAGTCAATAATTCGTTTAAATAACGTAAACAAATGAGGACTAAGGATTGTATCTTGGGCAACTTCAGATCGATAGAGCCCCATTTGTCCGCACCCGTTTTCTACTATCGTTCAGAGAGTCACTTGTCCAGTTTATGGTTTCATAACGGATCCTAATACCATCCGGCTTTAACTACGGACTCAGGTGAGAGACGTTGTCGAGGGCCTTATTTAAATCTGTTAAAGTTACATCTACCAGAATATTTCTATCTTTCGCTTCAGCCTAATCATCTCTTGCAATGAGCAGATTTGTCGAGTATGACAAGCCTTTCTAAAATCATTTTGTCCCCTAATATAAAGATCATGGCGTTTCACTATTGAGAGCGAGTATCGATAATTATAACCATTGAAAAACTCATCATCTGACATTGGTAAGTTTTATAGAACCTCCATCTTTACTTAGGGTTTTTTTAGAAAATAACAATTTGATTCCGATTCGGTAGTTGTACGGGAAAGAAATATGACTTGACCCTCCATATTTTCTTCTTTAGCTAGAAAACAATGTTTAGCACTAATTCGTTTATTAACCAGCTAGGAATGCTGTTCACAGTGTTCATTTTTGTGTTTTTAGATGCCGTTTATGAGTTCGTATTTTTTATTTCTCCGTTCCTCAACCTCTTATGAACAGTGTTATCACTAAAAGCTTACAAGTTTTTCGATGAGCTGATTGATTACACCTAGCCTTGATTTTACAAGGATTTAAAATTTTGAACGCTATTATCACCGATGGCAAACAATGAAGGCAAAAATGGAGGGTTACAGAAAAGAAGACATCCTCCACAACTGTTTCGACAAATGGAGCAAGATGAAGTCTCCTTCCCGTAGGTACATTTTTGTAATAATAAGATATTTGTTTATTTTTTTCACAAGCTTTTATACTAAATTTGTGACCACCAAACATGTATTCGTTAAATTTGCAGACTCAATCTAACCTAATGATGTTTATGAAGAAAACATGACTTTTGTAAGGCTTGTGTGTTTATGAAAAATTGCTTTTTAACCCCTAAACGATTTCACCTGTTCACGACTAAAGTATTTTCACGTCAGGACTGATGAAATCGTTAAATAATTGCTTCAACGAATGAATTGTTAGCTTTGTGTTGTTCTCCAGTGTTTGTTGCACAAAAGTCATGAAGTCAAATTACTTTATGTTGCTTATTTCTTGTAACGTAAAAGGTGCTATTCACATCGTTTTGAAGAATTAGGTTCTATTTCAAAAAAAGGTGACAGTTCTTGTTATTATAAGCTCTATGAATGCGTTTATCAACTGAAAGTCTATGAAGACATGTAAGTAAAATCAAAACTGACACTTTATGACTTTTTACTTAATGGAAAGAAACGTTTTTAGTATTGAAGCCCACCACATCAGCTGAAGGTTTTTAGATTACTGGAGCCAGACATCTTATTTAAGTTTGATACTTGTACTTGCTTACATATGTTCCAATTAAATGCTTTACTGCTATTTTTACCGTTGCCGAAATATAGACAGACTTCTTGCACTGAGGGAGAGGAATATAACCTGAAAATTCCTGTATCTGCCAATCATAGCCATCTTTCAACAAAATCGAACAGCCATGCACCAAGCAATGCACAAACAGTTGCCGTATCCAGCGACAAGCCCATTTTTCATTCACCAGTAGCAGCTTTCAAGCAACACCATGGTATTCATCCTCGTTTCACACCACCTGAAGACAGCCGAGCCAGCAGTAGTACTGGTAGTGCAACAACGGGAGGTACAAGTATAGGTAGTCAAAGTAGTGGTGGTAAAGACAGCAGCAGTGGTAGTGACAAAGCTAGGCTGGCTTGTTCAAGTGCACTAAATAAAGGGACTAGATGTGGTAGCAGTGCTTCATCATCGACTGAAGAAACCGAAGCACGTGAAAAACGCTTTGGTAGTGTAGATTTACATCCTTTGCCTAGCGTCGCATTAACGGCTATAATGAACCAAGCGATGCGTCGTAGTTTCTATGCTGAATCTTCAGTTCAAAATGCTGAACAACTTCAGTATGCTACGTTACTATCAGCTCATAAAAATTATGGAGACTCTTCAGGTCCAATTGATGTAAAAAGGAACGCACCATCTGTTCCACCATCCAAAAATGACTTGGTTAATCTCTTTTCACAAACACCAGCACATGCCAATATAAATTCTGTGCCACCTTCTGTTCACAGTGTGGCTATTAAGATCGATTTGCCCAAGTTTAATCAAAATTCGCCATTGCATCTTATCTCTCCTAATTTATGGCCACGTAAGTCTGTGAGATTTCGAGATGTTACTACAATATATTTTTAGCTGAAATGTTGTTTGTTTTTCACATTGTAAACTAATGGGCGTAACACATTTCAGCGCATTACTCTTTTAATAAGCGTGATCTGTATTTAGGGTAGGGGCAAATATGTATCAGCATTTGGTCTCCTAAAAGATATAACTTGGTTTTTTGAATACATTTTTTCAATCACTTGTCCCTAGGAATTTCCACGGTAATTAGGCAAGAAATTCCAAGAAAGTTTCTATTCGCTATTAAATGATAGAGAATAAACTATTTTTTTCAAAATCTTAATTATCAACGAGTGACTTAACTCAAATGGAGCCCCATCATTTCCTTAGTGAATAGAATACAGATTATTGTATTGGTAAAATAAGAACGGACCATCATAGCAGTGGTAGTAAACGAACTTAAAGTTAGAACTACGTTACAGTTATTTATCGCCTGTTGTCATTTCAGTCAATATATTCTGATAACAATCAGAACGCATACCCTCACGCCTCGTCTTAAATATATTATTACAAAATATCGAAAAAGCTTTCTCTAATCTTCTCTAAAATTATTTTCCATCAAGGCTAATTAGCAGTTTATTCTACTCTATTCTGGAAATCTCCAACAACTCGCATTATTAACATCCCTTTAGGTAAAAGCTATTCAGTTTAGGCAATGCAACTTAGAAATATTGCCTTTTTAAATTATAAACTTGATTCTAAGTTTTAAAATGTTACACAACGAGTTATATTATGGTGTAAATTACGCTTTCTGATAATTCATTTATTTATTCTACTTGCTTCGTAATTCTCACTTTAAGTGCTCAAAGTGGTGGTTATCTTTTTGCTTCTCTCATTATATTACTTTGAAAATCAAACAATTCTGCAATAACGAATGTATAAACAGACAGTGAATCTGTTGGAAGCTTGGTTCAAATATAATAACAGTAGAGAACAAAATGGATTGGAGAAATTTCAAAAAAATATACGATCATGAGTTTAAGTCAAAATGTGTAATCATATACGTATATTACATGTGAAAATTATATTTGAAATAATCTCAGCGATTGAAATTTAAATAATTCCAACGTTTCGTCCAGCCAACTTGTCTGGGCTTCTTCAGGGTAATACTTAAAAGAAGTCCAGACAAGTTAGCTGGACGAAACGTTAGAATTATATAAATTTCAATCGCTGAGATTATTTCAAATATAATTTTCACATATAATGACTTCTGTTTACTCGGCGCCCAATTTCTGTCAAACTATTCGTTCTAATCTTGACGAATATTCGTATAAAGTATACGTATATGTATGACGAGATACTACAAAATCCCCCATGACCTAGAATTTTTGAACTCACTTATAACTTAGCAACTGTGAATGATGCAACTCAAGCATATGCGTCTGCTCAAGGTTGACAATGTGATTTAAGGATTGACGATAAAAAGTACGATTTCCTGACTTTGATTAAACGTTTAACGTCAAATGAATTCTATCTCAATGCCATGTCATTTATTTTTAAAACCTTTATCGCACTCCTTAATAAATTAACTTCTGCCGTCACAAATGACTTCATAGCTAGATTATTTCGTATCAGCACTGTAGTGAACTTTTTGATTTCAGGAACCCAAACACTGATCCCATCCCTTTATATAATTTTACAAAACGTAATCAAGTATTTTATTTGGGGCTAGGAAATAGTAAGTGATAAAGCCATACTAGGAGGTTTGGGTTTGAGAGTGGGCATTAACAGGGTAATCTAAGTAGATACACTTCATGAATTCTAAGTAGGACTAAACAATCCCCGTAGATTTCACAGGCAATCGCAATTTGGTAATATACTTATATTTGTTAACCCTAGAATAAATACCTTTGTAGCTTAGGTGAAAGTTTTTTTGGTGTCGCATGTCTTGTGCCAAACAGTTTAATTCCTAAGCTTTAACTGCCATACTGGGCAACATCACCTGCGCTTACTTCAAATAGGAATGAACTTGTCAAGAATTTTTTCACAAGCTCCTAATCAAGTTATTCTGTTTAAATCTTTTCTTACTTGTTGTCTCTGCACATTTCCTATGTTCATATTCCTTGACTGTTTCTTCTGTTGACGTCTGGCAATGTAACTGATTGAAAGTTTCTGGGATAACTGTCAAACTGGGTCTGTAGTGATAATTACAGACCAACCTGGAACAATTGGCTTGAAAATTCTATGGGATTCTTAGAACTAAATCATAACTTGAAATTTGTACATCTTTTTAATGACGTGAAGTACACCAAAAGTGGCCAGTGCGATATAAACCTATTTTTAAGAAAGGGGTTAATACATACAACTGAATAATAAATCTAGTTTGACGCTTAAATGATGCCTTGTTTAAAAAGTAAATAGCAAGTTAAGCTTCAATTTATTTAACCAGTTTATTTTTTTTGTGAACAGGATTGATTTGTCCAATTCATGGTGATAATTTATTGGCTCAATTTTCTCAAGCTTTATGCAAAAGAAAAATTGGTGAGTAGTTCACGGAGCGATTGTTTCAACATACGCCTTTATACTTTCAACTGTACCCTTTTTATTAAATTAATAAAATTAATTCGAAAAAATCAACAGTAATAGAACCGTTTTTTACCGGAATTTCTGTCACATAAACACCATAATACGGTATTTATCTGGATTTATTGAATAAACTAGTAATTTTCACAGATTGAAATAATGAGTCAGTTGAAGCTAGGCCACCATGAAAAACCTGGAAGCACTGGACGGCCGTTTCGTCCCTGCATGGGACTCCTCAGCGGCGCGCACCCACTATCTCGCACCCCGCGGGATTCGGACCCAGGGCTACTGACTTCGTGCACGAGCACTTAACCGTTAGACCACTGAGACGGCTGGCATCCAACGGTGTTAATGTCTAACTTCAACCAATCCACGAAGTTACTCCACCGTACACCATTGTCTTCAGTGAGCTGATATCTCACAACAGACCTGGTTGAACTCCACTGGTAACGGCTTCCCACTAGAACTCCAGGAGTATTTCTTGAAGTCAGTCACTAGTGAGCAAATGATTATTATCAGGAGGGGTTTGTGGAGATTTTAGAAATTTTCACAGATTGAAATCATAAGTCAGTTGAAGCTAGACCACCATGGAAAACCTGGAAGCACTGGACGGCCGTTTCGTCCTAGTGTTATGCATGAATGAAATTGAATAGATGTATATCTTGAAAGAATAAAAAATAATGATTTAGGTGAAGATTGTAGTAAGACTACCTGAGAAATCAAAAAACAAACGGGTTATTTTAATTTATATAATGTGATTCCTCTTATCTTTATTCTTGTTACCTTGTCTCTGACTTTCTTATCCTCTTTCTTACGAAATGTATTTAAGAAGTTATCTCCATCAGTTCAGATCCCTTCTTCGTTAAAAAAGAAGATTTTCGGTTTTGTAATGAACACTTTTTAAATGTTCAAATGATAAGAAAAGAGGCATGGAAGTGTTCAACAGTCTGAATGCTCCAATTTTTCACGAGAGTACAACTAAATACGAAGATAACTGACATTTTTATAATAAGATGAATGAAGATCTGAAAGTTTTACCCCGAAATTTTATTTGTACAAAATTTCTGTTTGTAATATGTTCAACTGCAATTTTCTTTTTGAAAGATATCAGTGAAACAGACAGTGAACAAGAAATGTCTAATTTACCAGTTCTATCTACAAAAAATGAACAATCACTCATGAATATCACATCATCGACCCTAGAAGAGTCTAAACAAGATTACAATAATAATGACAGTTCAAAACAAGCAACAAATGCAACAATAACTGCGCCGGTGCTCGGAACAAGTGTTTATGGGATGCCAACATTGGGGTATTTTAATAACGTATCTGAACCAAATAACAATAATACTGTTCAATCGAATGGTCCTCAACGTATTGGTCCATATTATTTAGGTCCCACACTCGGTCGGGGTAATTTTGCTGTGGTGAAATTGGGAAAACATTCTCAACTATCTGTAAAGGTAATTTTATCTTCGTATACGCTCGTATTTCATCATTCATTTATTGAGTTTTTGTCTTTACTTCATGCCCTGCTGTATGTACTCTAAGAGTAATACCAGGTGATACGGCTTCGAATTGGAGGAATTATTTTTTATAAAAATGTAGCGAATCACTTACAAAGCAGTGTAAGAGAAGGAGGAGTTTTAATTCTTCTAAAGATCAGAAATGTATTTTTCCTGAATGAGTTCAACGAAGCGACAAATTGAATCCAATTTTTTCTTTCGCTTTTTACTTTCTTTAGTTTTTATAATTCTTCCTAGGTTGCCATCAAAATTATGAACAAAGATTTGATTGGTTCTAAAAATCTTGGTAAAGTCTCTCGAGAACTTGAAGCGATGAAACGTTGTCAACATCCGCATATCATCCGTCTTTATCATGTTATGGAAACAGAATCAAATATTTTCATGGTTACTGAATACGCTAGTAAAGGAGAGGTATTCGGTGAGTTTAATTTTATCCATCTGTCAACTAATTATTTTTCTTTTTGTTACTGAAGAAGACATTACACAGAAAGTGACTCTACCTTGGTGAATACTTTAAACCGTAGAGCACTGGATTGTTTTTTCTTAATATCTGACTTTTCGGAGGTGTACACACACAACTTTGCATAAAAATCTTTTCATGAGTGTTGCATATGGTCTCTGATGATTTTTAGTTAAGCTAAAGGCTGAAGATACAGCATCTTTTACATCTTAATGAGAAACTATGTTACTTCAAATGCTCACAAATCTTATTTCGACCACCACGCTCTTGCCTTATATAATATTTAAATAGAATTAACTAAATGTTGCTTCTGAATAAAACTGATTCGCCTTCTTGAAATTAAAGTTTCTTTATATATTTTTCTCTACAACGTATTCATGAGCTGTAATATATCTGCTGAACAATAAGTTTAGTTTTTGTCGTTATGGGATCGATATTCACAGTCTAAGCTTGCTTAATACCGGTTACTGTTGTGCTACAGTCCTTTGTAAGAAGTCTGTAAACTTTAGTTGTCTTTGATTCAACCAGATGTCAGTATTCTTCAGAGATGGTACTCGCGATGAACATTAATTTACTGATATGTTTTTTACATTGTTTCTTATGATACACATACGGTGGTTTATTAGTTAACTGACACTAAGTGGACAATCTGACATTTAAATAATCAGACTTTAAGACTTAATGAAAAGAAGAAAAAGATAGGGAAGTGAGAAAGATGAAGAACAAACGGTCATTGATTAATATGATGCTACCTGCTCAACATATCTTTAAGCACTAACTGTCAGAGGTTTATGGACACTGATACTCAGTGGATAGTATATAATACACTTCGAAAATAAAATCGTCAAAGTTATTGTGTAATAAGCATTTATATAGTAAGGAGGTTATCATAAATTTTATGAATACATGTATGATTTAAAGATAACTTTTGTCATAAATTAAGGAGCCTTGAACGATTGTTCGACATGCAGTGTACTAATTAACAGTGTATTCTCTTGGTACCACAAGGGTCGAGCCTAGAAATTCCAGTTCTAACGACAAGAGTAATAACTTCGAAATACGTAGTTGAAACCATTTGTTAACAACTTTAGCACTAGTGGATTTGTGATAATGGGCGATAATCACTAACACAGAACTTTGGAAAATCTCGCTCAAATATATTTATTAGTATATAATTATTACTCACTGTGATATTCTATGGGTTGATTTTTATAGCTTGAATATTACTACAAACATATATACTAATTACATATTATAGTCATCGTTCGATTCAATTTATTTTGCGTACCATTCTACTAGATCATATCAGTCTATCTCATGCATTTACGGAGAAAGAAGCTAGGGAATTATTTTGGCAAATCGTTTGTGCAATCGAATTCTGTCATGCTTCAGGTATTGTACATCGAGATTTAAAAGCAGAAAATCTTTTATTAGACGCTGATTTTAAAATTAAAGTTGCTGGTAAGCTACATTTACACATATACTTCATAAATTTCAAGGGTAATTGATGATTTGTTCAGTGTGAAACTAAGTTTTTATACCAATACCATCTAGAAAATCATTCTAAAATCAAAAGTGACTGGTCAATAGTTTCATGCTTATTAATAACTTTTTATTAGCGTACACCTATACTTTTCAACTCTAGTCATTTATTGCGATTATTATTTTGTGACATCAACGGAAATCCTCTTCGCATTCAACAAGCTGTATCTACAGACTGTCTTGACTTTATTGCTATATAGAATCATGTGTTTGAGAAATGTAACTATTGCACAAAATATGAAATTAGTCATCTTGTGTAATGGTTTTGGTAGATTAGTGCTGAATTAGTTAATATTTTATAGTTAGTGATTCAAATTATTACTAATGTATGGACAAGCTCTTTTCACTTTATTGGTAGATTTTGGATTTTGCAATTTTTTTCAAAATGATCAATTATTATCTACACATTGTGGAAGTCCTCAATATGCTGCGCCGGAATTATTTAAAGGTGAACCATACGATGGAACATTGGCCGATGTATGGGTACGTTGCAAATCTCATAATACGTAGAATATTTGTCTTATATAGCTTATTAAAGATTATCGATCGGATATTCATAAAGATGTAATAAATTATTTCATTGATCATCATTTCCATCGCCTGAGGTGGTCTTGTTGGATTATTTATGCTTAAACACCGTCTAGCTCGGCACCTAATCTAACTGGCACATGTGCAAGTTGAACAAAAAAATCGAAACGTCTTCGCACAAGGACGAAACATAAACTCTATCAGTAATTAACTGTTTGTATTACCAAATGTCTTTTTTGAAACCTGCACAATGGTTGTAAGCTATCACTGAAAACTCTGAGTGATATGACCTGAAGTTGACTCTAAGACGTAATTTCATTTATCCCTTATCTTCCTCTAAATCGTGTGTTCACTATCATTCTGTTGATTGTAATTTTCCGCATTATTTCCTCATTTTAAATTACATTTTGTATACTAGACATTCTATTAAATTCAACGTTAATTTCTCTTCCCTACTGCTCATTTCACTGATTTACCTTAACATTAACGGGAATCTGTGACTGTCATTGACTGTATGAAATAAATTCTTTGGAAACCATTTATTTTAGTGGTAAATAGTTATTTCCCAGTATCTTAACCAAAACCTTTTAAACGCTCTCGTCTATCAATAATTTCACCCAGACAAGTGTTTAAATAAGTAAAATGAACTCTACCAACATCCGTTATTTGTACTATGTCAATACATAATTGAAATAACAGAGGGAAAAACAATTTGAATTAAAATAATGAAATTGATTCAATGAATGCAGGTCAATAATATCAATGACAAATGGAGAGGTTAATAATTGAGCAACCAATTTTTTTTGTTTGAAAAGACCTACTTTGAAGAAGTGATGACCTCCTTGTTACAATGTTATATTTTGCTAGTTTCGATTTCTCTTGCTCTTAATCACTGATCTCTTTTTATTTAAAAATCATGGATAGAAAATTAACTTGTAATTTCTTTTTTACTGTATCTAATTTTCAAATTGATTGTGCAATAAAGTTTTATTTAATAATCTTGAACGATTAGAATGTACATTTGTACAATGAATTATGTGAAGTGTTGGAAATTCGCAAAACATGAACAACTGCCTACCATCCAGAAAGCAATGGATTCGTTGAGAGAACCATTTGGACTCTCAAAACGCTACAAAAATTATTTTTTAATCTGAAGAAAGTTAGATCGCGAGACCTAGCTGTGAGCAAATGTTTACCGGCATATTACGGTAGCGTTCACATGTCGACTACATTTTTACAAAGATTTCGACTTTATAAATTTGATTCAATAAATTAAAAATTGTCTATTCAGTGCTGATTGTTTCGTCTGTTTAATGTAAATTCATTTGAATTTTTGTGAATACAATTTATTTGAAGTGTCTTTGCTGAAAATTGTTTAGTAATCTTCGACAATTATAATTTATGTATAGAAAACACTTCTGATGAAAAATTGTTTATGAAAAATAATGTCATTTACATAAATTTTCTTTTATATTTTAGAGCTTAGGTGTTATTTTATATATTCTTGTTTGTGGTTCATTTCCGTTTCCCGGTGAATCCCTTGGTGATATTCGTACACAAGTACTTCGTGGTCTTGTACGTTTTCCATTTTATTTATCGACTTCTTGTGAACAAGTTATACGATGTATGTTACAGGTCGATCCTAATCGACGATTCAAATTAAAACAGGTAAGTATTAACATAACTTTAATTCGAATTTTTATCATTGAACTAACATTATCAATCTAAGTCAAATGGAATTGTTTTCTCTCATGAACAGAAATAAAGGTTGAATTGTTTTCCGTTTTTTCCTCTCTCGATCGGTATGCATAACAAGAAAATGCACTACTGTAAGAGTAAATTGATCTATAAAGGACTAGTTTCTATGCAATGATAGCTAAAAAATATTATTTGATATTAAATAAATCATAATAAATGAATAATAGATGTATAGTTAATGGCTTTAGATAAAGTATTAAAAAGTTCTGAAATTAAACTTCTTATTTACTTAAATTCAAAATACTGTATTTAAAGGTGTGCGTATTATAATGTCTCATACATCGTTTAGTGAACAGCAACAAACAAATTGTGAAAATAACAAATTTTAGATTCTAACCTAGAAAAATCAACATTTATATAGATAATATGTAAGTGAGGTCACTAAAAACCACCAAGATTTATGTCCCATGAAAGTTACTACTCACATTGATATTTCTGATAGGAACACCTGGTAACATGAGTTTAAGTATCATGGGGAACATCAGTCACGACAGAATTCTAGATACTCCACACCATCCCTGAACTTCTGAACTGCTATTGTTCTGACTAATTAGATTTCTCCTCCTAATTGTGTTATCAAGAAGTAGTCTACAGTTTCGAATAATTTGATATTCTATTTTGAAATATAATTTCAAAGTTATCGACAGACTTTTACTGTGACTATTACCACTGTTATTTTTATTATCAACACCTCTACTTTCATGTAACGACCAGCAGAACAAAATAGATGCTACCTCTTTACAGTTATTTTGTGACTCATAATAAAAGCTTTTTGTTAACCAACCTAACGTTTATGATAAATACTTTGGCAAAGTGTACACTGCAAACTTTATTTAATATCACCATATTTAACCCATTTTAAATTATTTATATATGAATGATATTCTTTTGTTATTAATTCGCGTCGCAGGTTACGACCACAGCATGGATGCAAGAGTCTCCAAATGTGGAACATTATAAATCACTTATGGACAAATATCAAAAACAAGCAAAAGAACGTCAATTCGAAGTTTTATTTCGTCATCAACATCCGGAACACAGTAAAATAGCTAAAGAAGAATTTCTAGAAAGAATTGAACGTAAACTTGATATTGGTGTTGTGAAAGCATTGTCTAGAGAAGCAGGTTTAGATGAAGAACAAGTATGTCATCAAGTGACTACATTTTTTTTAGTCAATATTACTCAACATTAATTTTTAATCCAGAAAGATCCAACAGTTTTATTAAGGTGTATATAAAAACCAGATAAATATCATAGCTTTGCAAATTCAAAACATTAGTAGTTTATGAAGTCATCAGTAGTATATTAACCTTTCAATACTCTTGCTTCATAAAATAACCAAACCTATTTGATGCTTAGAGTTAATCGCGAGAAAACTCTGTGTATATTACTGTGTTAGTTTTAAAGTGTTATTCAGTTAATCTGAACTGTAAAATGTATAGATATTGCAAATAGAAATAGTAATCATTTCTTTAATCATTGCATTATGAATCATTTAGTGTGACTAACCAACTTCAATCGAACTTGAATTTGTTTGTTTCCTAAATTAAATGATCTATTATCTACCCTGAATATCTTGAATAATGAATAATTTTCAATTTCTTATGTTTTGTTTAGAATTTTGTATTATTTGGATATTTGAGCGAATCAATGAATAGTCTATTGTAAAAACAAATTCTCATGAGGTTCTGAGTCTAAATTAGTAATCAAACTGAAAATGGGTTCTGAACTTAAGTAAATAAACATAGTTTAGATCGCGGACTGACTGTACATAAATAGCCATTAAAAAGCTGGAGGCACTGGGCAGCTATTAAGCCACAGTATTGGACTTCTCTACAGTATGTATCCACAACTGAATCTTCAAATCGTTAAGTTTGCATCCAATGTATTACATTCCTAACTTCAATTAATTCACCAGCTGTAGATTGAAAATGCTAAGAAGTACCATAGTTGGACGGAATAGCTCTCCAATACTTCCTTGTATCTGACGGTTGTCTGGTTACATTCAATACGTGATGTGAACAATAAAATTTGGTAATCTTCACTAGACCTCCTTGATTAAAATAAATTTCTTAGCATTGTTGAAAATGTTAGCGCGATGAGTTCTCTGTGTATACGTGAATCAGATTGCACTTCAGGTGAGACTATGAGATCGATGATCGGAGTAAAAAAGGTAACGTAGAATGAGTAAAATAAAACCATTTGTGATCATATCAAATGTTCGACCGAAGATTATCTAATCTGTGAAATAAGCGATAGTAAAGTGTGGTGAGTGCTGAATATATTGTTGAATATGATAGAAAAGATAGTTTGGAAATAACGAAAGAATACAGTGAAAATACTAGTAGCTGAATCAGACAATAACACAAAAAGATATCTATATATTAGTCGCATTAAGCTACATAACAATTTAGATAAATCTTAGCTTACTAGGCCTGTGACTGACCAAAGTAGACATTATTCCTTTGAAAGAAAAGTAAAAACGTTTAGGTTGTTATAGATTTTACTCTTAATGTATAAAAGATTCTTAATCTGATTAGTTTGGCAGGCTAATAACTATAAATGTATGTCCTCCTTGATCTAGATATAGTAAGATAATGCTGTTTACTGCATTAATTACACATTTGCATGTTCATTCTGTAGCATATTCAGTAGTGAGTCTCGTGACCATAAATAAACTAGCCCGATGATAGTCGGTTTTAGCCTCATTTTCAACTTTTACGTACATTTTTTAGATTCGTCAGTCTACAATTCAAAAGAAATACGATCGTTATCATGCAGCCTATGAATTATTAAAAGAAAAAATTAAAATATTTTATCATAATCCTATCCTAAGAAATTTCGTTAATGATGAAGCCAAAAAACAAGCAGGCATATTTTCCAAACTAGATACAACTCAAAGACCTGCATGGCAGCCAAACTCTGATATTCTAGGTGGATGCAATTTATCTGAAGAACAAGTCAATACGAATGTTTTAAGCATAACCACATCAACAACACAACCATCTGCAATGCTTAGTGTATTGGATGAAACAATGTTAGAAGAACAAACTCCTCCGAGCGATATTATCATGTCCAGTGATTCCAGTGATCTATCAGATGTAATGATGAAGGATACTTCTTTGTCTTGTACTAGTGTTCATGCAACTACTTCTACAACAATGAGTACTGTTTTCATCACGGCGTCCAATCTTGAAAAATCTGAAAACTCTTGTACTTACGATAAACAGAATACAACTGTTACAACTGACAAGAAAGATTTCAGTGAAAGTAGTTTAAGAGAGTGGAAATGTGCTACACAGGTAAGTATAATGCAAGAGATTGTTGAGCATATACATTATATTACAAGCGAATAGTGTATAGAGTGAGTTGTTTAATTATCTGAAAAAATATAGAGGTCCAAATTCATAAAACTATTCATCGTTCTTATAGATTGATTTAATCTATACATTATGATACCAGATTGTTTTTTTTGGGGGGGGGGTATTAGGATTAATCAATAATAAATGTTTTGTAAAACGATGTAATTTAATTTTTTTTTAATGTAACGTGATATTGTTTACTACTCAGTGATCGTTTAGTGTAAATATCTTAATGCTTCAACAGATCATGCTTGTCCCAAATAACTCATTGGTAACATTTTCGATTGCATTATTAGAGAATGCAACATTTAGTCTTATGGAAAGCGTCAATTCCCTGAGGAATAAATTATTTAGATTGACAATACTATAATCCTACCGAATTTTATTAATTAGATTATAAAAGCTTTGACTGGTTCCTTGTTCATGAACAATTAAAATGTATATAAACTTGTGTAAAAATTTGAAATATTGTGACATATACAGAAACTTTACATAGTTTGTAATTTTATTTAAATTCTAGCATATTTTTTTATTGTGAATAGTGGTACTATGGAGAATCCACTTTTCGTCCATCTTACAATTTGTCATCTGATTTTAATTGTATCCCAGTACCCAGCTTTACATTGACACATTTACACGTTACTATTCGCTTCATGCGATATCATATCTGGATAGGCACCAACTTATTCAACATTAAATAAATATTTTTATAAGATCCTATATTATCCTGTTGTTTATATTCAGGATTCATTCTATTTATACGTAACTATTTTTTTAACACAAACATTGGTACAGAGAAGCACCATAATATATATACGCCAAACAATAAAAATAAGGTTGTGAAGAGATAGAGGAAGGTGAGTGTAAAAAAATAAGTGAAACTAATAAAAATGATAGTGATATTAATAATGGGGGAATCAGTTCAGTTAAGGAAGATACAACCAAAAGGGATTCTTTCAGCTCAAGACGTTCTTCTCACTCATAAAAAGAAAACTTAAAAGAATTACCGCAGAACTGCCACCGGCTTCTATTCTGAGCTATGTTTGATAAAATCTCAAGCCAATGTGTTACACCATCTCTGGGACCGCAACCAGGGAGTCTCGAGGGACCAACAGATCCCAATCCTGTATAGTTCTTTTCAGTCGCTAGGATGGCATTCTTAGTACATGTTTAAGGCACCGAAAATGAAATTTTTCTTCACCTTAGATGAGCTGCTAAATGAGTTGAAGAATGAAGAAATAAGCATATGTCACAATGTAAAATAAAAACGAATATTAACAAGTAGTTTTCAGTATCATTTGCAAGAATAAGAATTAAAACGTGAATAGTTTTTTTAGTTGTAGTCATCATTAGGTTTGTATGTGTATCGAAATACTGCTCGTGTGTCCAAACCAAAGCAGGTGATTTTCTTAAGGAGTCACTCCCTGACCCTTTGATTCAGAATTGTAATCTACAAGGTAGTGGATCAACGTTAAGAGATCCAGTCTCATGAAAGGTGATGACTAGAAATAGATTCGTACTCAATTTATTCTCTTGAGATTGTGTTTAGTCAATTTATTATGATTGATTTCCATTCTTAGTGAATATTCCAATATACTTTAAAATGTCAGCGACAATTAATTGTGAAACACTAACCACTATAAACTTAACTAATATGTCTGGCATTTTGACAATAATTTGATTTGTACAACACTAACTAAGACTATAATATCAGTGTTATATGGTTGTCTTCATATTGTCCGCAAAAAAGAAAACTTCACTTTGAATCAATTATCTAGTTAAATATTATTGACTTTAATTGAGGGAAATATAAATGTTTACCAAATACTCTTGTTCATTTCTCTTTTATTTTTCTAGCCAAAAAATACTGAATTGAATGCTGCCATATGTATATTAAAAGTAAATTCATTTCATCTGTGTTATGGTTCCATAAATGTTTTCTTTTAATATTCATTGAATAATATTAACATTTGTGTTTATTCTAATAATTTAATTCAAGTGTTATTATTGATAAGTGGATAACATATCAACAAACATTATTATTATTTCAACAGTTGAGATCATGAGTCAATAGAAACTACACCACTATGGAAAACCTGGAAGCAGTGGAGTTCAACCGGGTCAGTTGTGAGGTAGTAACTCACTGGTGACAATGGCGGATGTGTCGCTCAATTTCGTGGATTAGTTGAAGTTAGTCATTAACACCGGTGGATGCCGGCTTAACGGTCTAGTTGGTTAAGCGCCTGTGGTGAGACTGATAGGCCCTGGGTTTGAATCCCGCGAGGCGAGGTCGTAGATGCGCTCTGTCGAGGAGTTCCACAATAAGACGAAACGGCCGTCCAGTGCTTCCAGGTTTACCATGGTGGCCTAGCTTTAATTGACTCATTATCACACCTGTTGAAATTACTACGTTCTCAACAAAACCCCTTCTGATATTATTATTATTATTTCATTAAAATCATGAACCGAATATTGTCAGACCAACATTGAAAATCTGGAAGAACTGAATTGTTTTCAATGGTAGTCGAACATTAATCAGTTCATAATTTCAATGAAATTTAACATATATCTACAACCGCATACTAAAAATTATTATTATTATTAAACCATCGTCATATCTTTATTCACAGAATTATTTATCTTCTCTACTAATATTTATTTCAATACAATAATTCTATTTCAGGTGAAGTCAGTTTTTTGCTTTCTAGAAAAAAGTCGCTGTTCCAACTAGTACAATTTACATCAATCGAACTACATTGTTTGCATCTAGATAAAGCAAGAACAAATAATGATGCAGAATAGTATGAATTCTAAATTAAGATAAGAAATAGTGTGAACCAGTTGACATAAATGAATGTAAATAGCTGGGATGAAAAAAGTTTACAATGATAACAATATATATATGCAAGAACAGGTCAGATGTTATCAGGTGTTATAATCAAGAAAACATTAAGGATGGATGGTGTAATAGTTGTTTGCAATTATCGCAACATAAATATCTTATTTATGAATTTTTGGTGTAAAAAAAGCCTTAACAATAAGTTTTATCAAAAAGATTATTATTAAATATTCTACTGTTTGATTTACATTAAAATATAAATTATGATTGGTTTAGAAAATTTACACATATCTCTGTCTTGTTCAGAAACATTTTAGTTGAGGTTCCTGGTATACTTTATAGCTATCAATAAGAATAACACTCGAAGGATAACCGTATGTTACATATCTAATATAAAGAAGAATTTCACAAATTTATATTCTTAGGTTCAGTTATTTGTTGATTGAAGAGTCTTATTTAAATTGAGTAATTAACAGTTTTCATAAAGATATAAACATTCGTTTAAAAGTCAGTTTTAGGCAACTTTTCTATTTCGGGTGAAATCAATAAGAAACACACATAAAATTTCTGATCATTAACACATACTCCATCAAATGATTGATCGTCAATGTTTTTTCGCTTTTTTAAGGCTGATGAAGATGAAATTCTCTCAAATTTTGGTATTGATTCAGGACCAATAAATAAATCATTTTCTAATTCAATACGACGTCATACATTACAATTTACTACTTCATTATTTCGTAAACCATCCAACCAACGTGATAATCCTGATAATATTTTAACAAATAATGATGATGTTAATAATCATCAGTCGGATACATCTTCTGCCACCATCAACAGTATGTCCATAAAAAATTCCAATGCAAAAGCTAAACAATCCCACGAATTAACTGATGTGAATAACAACAGCAAAAGTTGTTCATCTGATGACAATAATAGCAGTAATAATAAAACTAATGATAATAGTGTTAAACGAACCACAGTACGTCGGTTTCCGCGTCAAATTACTCAACCACATTCAAATCGATTACAATATAATCAGACTAGTCCGGATAATTCAGATCAAATGTTACTTGTAAGTTACGTGAATATTGACTGGCTCTATATAAAGCATCTTTCGGTAACTTTTTAGCCTATTGCAGTAAATTTAAATAAAACACTTCAATTCATTATGATTTTCTTTCACTCTAACTGGTTATGATTTGATCAGTCATCGTTTAATTGCTTAATTAGTGACTATATGGAAATAAATGGTTACTAAACAATAGCAAGGAATAAAAATATTAGCCTTTTTCTTACATGTAACCATGCAACTTTTCATATTTTTGGTCGTTTACAGGATTTAAGCTGGTAAAGTTTAAGCGTCCACTCTTAGAAGCTGTTTATTTTATCACTTATAATGATACTCAGGAATTAAAATCTTAGAAATTTTATATACTTGTATCATTTTACTATCGTAATGTAAAATCATCAAAGAGTTCCATCGACAATTTGCATTGCCATAATTCTATGTGGAAAAACAATGATTTATTCGTATATCGTAGTAGTAAATATTAATAAAAATACAAATTTCTATCATTTGTTATCTCTGTCAACAAATGTATAATCTCATCATTTCATTAAAACAACAGTGATGAAACCGGTTAATTGTTCAGGTTAGATGTTAGAACAAGACCACACAACTATAAATATATAGTTTTTTTCTAAATGAACCTATGGCTGTTTGAATATTGGTTTATGGAGAAAAATCCAAATGAATAATCTGTGTCAGTTTGAAGAGATCAAGATATTATATAGTTTACCCTGTTGTGTATATTATACCTTAGTCCAGTTGAACTCCAAATCTACAAGTTTCCGACTAGCTTCGTATATCTTCGAATAAACCTATTGTTAAATTGACCACTGCCGACCACAGGATACCAGTGATCTAGATGCAAAGTTCTGTGAGATAACTCGTTAAAAATCAAGTTAAATTTGAAACTGACAGAAAAATGTTAAACATATATCCTATTCAAATGATAAACATATAATGTATTATACAAGCTTTTGGTTAAATGTCCGAGCGTACACGAAATTAGACTACAGTACAGAGAAAAATTGAAAAATGGTTTATATAGCTTGATTACTTTCTACAGTTCAATAGAATGTTTAAAATTTTAAAAATGAAGCCACTATAACATCACTGTTCGACTTTAGCTGAGACAACCATCAAAAAAGATGAAGCACTGGGGAGTTAATTCATTCTTAGTTTCGAATAGCTGTCTTGCTAAAATTAATAAAAAAATAACCAGTATAAGGCGAATAGTGAGTCGAAATGAACTTCGATTGTATCTATGTTTTCAATTCTAATTTTTGTCCATATTATCGTTGACCAAATTCCTCATACATGTCTCTTTACATTAAAGTTTAAAACGCTGATTTATCTCGTCCCTGAAGCTACTTTAGAAGTCTAAATGTATCGAATGATTGGTTTCATACATAAATACTTCATAATTGTACGACCAAACCAATTTGCCTGTCTTCTGTTTCAGAAAATATGGTAGGTAGACAGAACGCATACATTACATTTATGAAACATAATGATCCATACTGATTCCTAACCTCATAGTTTGACTGACCCTAGTTACATAATCTTCTAGACATTATGTCGAAATCATGAATACAATCTCCTTGCCAAGAACTGACTATGTAGTGAACAAAGACTCACGTACAGTAAACCAGTTTATTCTTTTATGCAAAATTACACAGTGCCTCTGTAAAATATGAAAATCATACATTAAAGACATCATTTACACATTATTCAGTTGCCTTCTACATACTCCATCATTCTTTTAATTCTGATGTCATTCCGGTTGCTCCCAGTTTTCCTTTCCATTCTTTTCATTTCAATCTTCTGCTGATAAGCATTCTATTTCTTATCCCCTCTACAAAACACTTATATCTGTTTGCATGAAAAGCGCACACCACAACTAAGTAACCATATTTTTACATAATCAGTGATTAGAAAAACATACTGCTTTCTATCTTTTCAAATTTTGTAGATTACATCTTGGTTCTTTATCACAACATAAATTCCAGTTATTATAGCCCCGTGACTACCGACAAGTACATGAATTTAAGATTAACATAGCACATGGGATATTTAACATGTAAAGTGGATCTAATCTAAGGTATATTAAACTATATATACAAGGTTGATTGCTATTTGGGTTTTTTCGTAATCAGCTACGATAATCCAGTTGATCCTTCTTTTGTCTGTTTGTTTCAATGATTATTCATTAAAAACCAGTTCATAAACTCACTGAAACAACGATAACTAACAGTCGAGACACGTTCTTAATGACGAATCTGTCAAAACTGTTAGCACTTCCTCTGGTTTGTTATATTTTCTGATGTGTACACCTAAACAATTGATTTTTACCAGTAAAATAATTTTTCTGAATATTGAAATTACTATAACTTTTTCTACTAGAACCGTTTAGATTGGTTGCCAAATAATTGGGAGACAACCCAGATGGGCTATCGGAAATCTCATTTACTGCAATCATCAAGACCTTATTTAAATAAAATTAGTAAACAAAATGAACAAACATTAACATCACTTGAATTAGGACAAGAAGCAGCTACCACAAAGTTACCACCAATGAAAAGGGATACAATTACCATAGAGACAACAACAGGTGATGATGAAGAAGAAGCAGAGCAAGACGATGTTTCAATTCTAATTGATCAGGAAAACATCTTGCCAGAAGAAATATCACAATCTATCCAGTTTACAGAAAATATCTCATCAGTTGGTGATTATAATGTGACAGTAATGAATAAACCAAATATGGTATCTGAAAAGGCAGAATGTCCCAATCCAGGTGAAAATTGATTGTTTATGGTTTTTTGCTTACTTTCGGTATTTATTAACAAATATTGTTGAGAATCGGCTCTGGTTTGGGTCTACAATGCAATTTTACGTTGCATAATCCAGAACTTTCGATTCCTATTAATAGAATATATGTTGACTTGCTGACTATAATAAACAGAAAGTATTGTTTCGGATTAATAGGAATTAAGATTTTTGGTCATCCTATGATGTGAGTAGTGTTATTTGGTAATTAAAATGTTATTAACTTTTCCATTAAATTGGAACGTGTAATTAGTGAACTTGATAACCTTGTGGTCCTGTTGGATGGACATATTTTAAAGGATGAAGTTCATAACACTTGAGGACCGTTATTCATGAACTAAAAAGCTCAACTACAACAACAGACAACTTGAGAAGCCTTAGTTCAACTAGGACTACAAATATACTTTACAAACGAATAACAACTATCACGAAATCCAGATCGAGTGATCCTTGACAATTGATTCCAAACATCAAAACTTATTCTTTTGAACTTGGTTGATTTAATTCAATTGACACTAAGGATTAGAGGCGACATCAGTTAATAGTTGATGATCAATGTTGGTAATATTTGTCGGATAGTCCAATAAATTGTTATATTATTCCCCGTCAAATAATTCTAGAGAAAATAATTTCATTTATTTGATTACAATGAAGTGAAGTCCGATGAACAGCTAATTACTACTTTTTTTAACGATTATCACTAATTGATTCAAAAACATTTGTAAATCCGGTCTCACATACAAATGTGGTGTGATTATGCGGTACAGTCTATTGACCAATCACTTAATTAGTCTTCAGTAAGGTAAGGCGTGCTTTGATCAACTCGTGTAATGAACGCACCGCACTGAGATTTAAGTGGTACTTACATTTTTAGTTATTACACTTTTTGTGATATCTCAGTGAGTAGAAATTTGTATTTCGAACGTTGCGTGACTTAATGTAAGCCAATTCTTCAGTTAAAAGTAATAAATAACCGAAATAATATTAACATAAGCTTAAATACTTCAAAGGAAACAAAGCAGAATATTTTTAGTACAACCAAAATCATAATGAGTTTGAACATGTCGATGTCATGTTATTTTTCGTCAAAGTGATTTTATATGAGACGTAACTCTGTTTATTTGTGCATATTATGGTAGAAATAAAAAACCTACAGTTTGCGTATGTGTGTGCAGATTGTGCGTAAGACGAATGGTGTCACATGTGGCTGTTTGAAGAAACGTTCCAGGTTAGAAGAATAGTCAGTACTTTTTGTATTCAAGGTAGGGGAATTCAGCATTACATGAGACGCTTTGGCTGGTCGCTTCTCTTTATAGTTGGAAAGGCGTTTTTGGATTATTTTGATATTTTTAATATTAATTTGGTGGCTATTGAGAATAGCATCTACTGTTATTGCAGATTTACTTTGTAGATTTTCCGGCCCTACAGAATCATCAGGTCTTTATGTAATGATCTCGTTAGCTCTTCGGAAAAGAGTCAGGACAATTTTTGCACAGTTTCCAGAGTTAAAGTTACTGTACCGATTTGAATGTGTCCGTTTTCAGTATATGGTTTGACTAAGATTTCCATTAGAATTTGTTTTAACAAAATAGTCTAAGATGTTGTTTGTCTTCCTTTTTGCAAGTGAATTTGATGTTATTTGAGAAACTGTAAATCACCTTAACGAAATTTCTAAGCGAATTTTTTTAATGGTAACAAATCTGTCATCTGCATATCTGAATCAGATGGTACTAGCAAAAATAAGCGACTCAATATAGAACATAAGTAAATTAGCAACACCTAGAGAAACTTGATATTCCATGGCTACTCCATTCGATTGTGTATACAAAGTCCCTTTAAATGTGAACAGTGTTGATTTCGTGACTGAAGTAATGCTTAATTGATATCTCCTCTACAGAGTATTATCATCCTACATCAAGGCATGAATAAGGCCTAGACATCTGTCATTTGGAAAATTAGTGTATGAAGATGCCACATCAAAGCTTACCATTGTTTCATTCCCTTTGATAAATAATCCCAAGATCTTTGACTTAAATTTATATGAATTTTGTACAACATCATTTAGGTTATGTTGAAGTGGCTTCAGTATACTGCCTAGATATTTAGATAAAGCATATTTTGGGGTATTCATGTTAACTATATGTGAATCAAAGTTCTGACTTACAGCTGAGTTCTAAGTTTGGATAAAATAACTATCTTAAGTTTCTGATTCTTTGTATGTTTCTTGGTCGTTTTAGTACACATTTGAAAGAAAAATAACTCGATCGAATTTCAGATTATTTTATAAATAATACGTTAATACTTCTATTTATTTTCATAATTAATTTTCGTTCCAATTTCCAGTTGAATGCCCATATGAGTCTACATCGAAAAGTCAACTGATTCCTTCACAATATCCTAATCCACAAACACCATCATGTGATCCTTTGCTGTTAGATCGTATTCCAGAACAAATTTCAATAGATATGAACACAGAGACTAATGAAAAAGTGAATGTAAGTGTTCTTAGTATTTTTTACATTCACAATTCCAACAAAAATACATATTTATCAGTTGTGTATATAAAATGAAAAATATTATAGAACAAAATTCCCTTAAAATATTTATTTGTGACCTTACAAAAACTTGGCAAAACTCACTGTCTGATAGGATTTGGCAATATAAATTGACAAAACATTAATAATCACTGACAGAGCGAACACCTTACAGTTGTTTAATCTTATATTAAGGCTACTCAATATGCCTTATCCATAAATGATAAGTTTAAAATAAACTTGAAATAAAAAATTAACCGACCTGTCAAAGTAATCATGAATGAGAAAGATGTTCTTTTCAAAAATCCGGAGTCATTCGTACGATGTTTCAACTGTCATAAGTACAAACCTTAGGTTTAGAATTTTCTATCGATTCCCAAAACCCACCTAGAATAAAATGGATACTGAAGAATAGTCTTGATTGAAGCTATTTTACTCAAATCATAAAGCAATACTGTATTATCCGCTTATGGAAGATACCTTAAAGATTTGATTTTTCCTTTCCAGTGTTCACTTTACACACTATTTCTAATTTTTTGCCAAATTCATCCATTTAGAATATCTTTTTCTTAAATTTCTTAGAATACGGCACATGTCCTAATTGAAAAACCAACCTTACTAGAAGATCCTTGCTGGTCCACTGTTCGCATTTCAGGTGGAGTGGATGAAGAAGATGATAATTCATGTGATCCAACAGCTGGAGTACTGCGTACACTACTTCCACAGCTTAACTTACCTGCGAACTTACCAGCTATGATTCATCAACCTGTAGCTTGTTTTACTGTTAAGGATCCAAATTTACTTGCTCCACCAGAGTTTATGACTCCACGTATGTTTTACAAATGCTTATTTGATCTAACCTGCGATTGTGTATTTTATCATGCACCAGTATGAGATTGAATTCAATATCCACAAGTGCCATTGTCCGATTGTTAATCATTAAACCATCGAGCTGTTTGATGATATTGCTAACCTCACTTTGAAGACAGTATTCATCATGGCTTAATATCAGCTAGCGAACCACTGACAAACATGTAGCACTTGTCAGCTGTTTTTATTGTTTAAATGTAAGCATTCATAATAACATACATAATCAGTCAAATATAAAACCTTCAGATTTTGTGGCAATATCGATGCTTTAAGAAAATATGATCACAAACAATTAATTAACGATACAGTACAACGGTCTTTCAACGTTTTTGACGTCGACTGTCCCATTCCCTATATATCTGAACACCATAAATCACCTTTTCAAGCTAGAACTTTAGGAGTTTATCATGTTAATTGGTTACAGAAACTAAGGTGATGGTTAGAGGTAATCGATCGTAAACCTTCATCCTAAGTAAAGTGTTGTTTCGCTTTCTTCAGCATGATCTACTTGTAATTTCAAAGAAACTGATACTTCATAGCTCATTCAACTTAGTGTCACCCAGTTTCGTAGTCAGAGACCCTGCCAATTAGTGGAGACTGACCTCCTGTAGAATAGATATAAATTTACAGTTTACTTATCACTGAGTAGTGACCAATGTCATGTATGTCAATTCCCTCGTATTTATAATCAAACTTCATAGATCAAGTTGCAATTTTACCACTAGTCTAAGTGACTTGATATCACATACTCTGTGTACAGATATAAACTGGGCATTGATAAAATTTGATCAGCGCTAAGAATGACGTACATACATAAAGCTAATCACTGGTCAGTGGTCAATCAGTTCTAGATACCAGAACTGGATGGTCAGAAACTATTTTCAGACTGAATAAGGCTTCGTATTGGTTAGAGAAGTATTCCATTTTTTTCAATTTCATAACTTCGAATAGCTCCATGAAAATTACTACACATTATTCTCTCTGTTAATGATTTTTGAGTCTATGTTATTTATGATACGGACTAGTATCAACTAGACTACCAGTGAAAACCGAAAAGCTTTGGACATCCGTTTCGTTCTAGTTTGGGATTCCCCAGTAGTGAACATCCACGACCTCGGACTCGGGACCTTCAGTATTTGGGCAAGCGCTTAACCTCTAAACCATCGAGTCGTCACCCAGTTGTATACAAGTCTAATTTCAGTTACTACGCGTTATTAATTGACCATCTGTTATTGAGTTATCAAGTTGTTGCAAATAATTTATCGATTTCAAATACATCAGTCTTGAGTTCTGTTAAAGTACTAATATAAATGGTTTTCTCTTTTCCCCTTCGTTTAAATTGAATTCTTTCTGTTATTTTCATATCATTTTTTCCCATCTTTTAATAGATAGTTCTAGTTTTCCTCGTAGATCATCTGATGGTGCCGCTGATCTACAGCCACTCCATCGACCAGTAATCACAGTGGGTGGAAGTTATCCGGAACAAGCAAATTACCGTAAAGAGGTACTTATACTGAATCATTTTTGTTTTTTGTTATTTTAAAGTTTTTGTAATATTTAAACACTTTACTCCTCATTGTTCACAATGTCGACAAGTTACTGTTTTAAGTACGGAAGATTTAGGAGATTGTAGTATTATCACAGTTGAACTCACTAGTCAATCTAAGCTAGACAACCATTGAGAACCTGGAAGCACTGAAGGGCCGTTTCTTCTTAGTATGGAACCACTAAGTGGTCTATAGGTTAAGCGTCCGTGCACAAGACCGAAGGTGCTAGATCGTAGATGCGTGCTTTTGAGTATTCTCATACTAGAATGAAGTAGCTGTCCTGCGCTTTCAGGCCTTTAATGATAATCTGTCTTGGATCGACTCTTGGTTTTAATTCTGTAAAAATAGATACTGTTTGTCTAAACTAAATTGTAACCAAGTATTGATAAACCATTTAAACTTTATCCTTAAAATGGAATAACAGTTCTACATGCTTCATTTTAAACAATCTACACCACACTACAAATCGAGTTGAAAATGTTAATCACTGGATTTCATATCAATTGTCTATGAGTTTAGTACTCATAATGAAATATAAACATGTTAATCGTTTACTCAAATCAAACTGTAGGTCAAATGGATTTTTGAAAACCTTTATAGGGATAAATAGGACTAAAGTAGGCTGAAAGAATCACTAATAGTATAATTGTTGGTCTAAACTAATTTTTAATCAGGGATATCATTCGATTGAAACGAATTATTCTTAACATAATAGTTTATAACTGGTTAGGGGAACAAATTCTCGTTTCTTTATACTACTTCTGTTAATTTAATTCAGTCATTTATCTAGTTAATTTGAAAAAGTGACTTAAATTAAGTGATGAAACGCCATGAAATTTAGATTTGTACTTATTGGGATATTAAAAATATAATGTTGAAGTTAATATTGTGGCTTTGTTCAGGTGAAATCAACTCAATCTTGCGATTGCTTCATGAGATATATTGCACAGTAGTGACACAATTGTTTTTTACATTGTAAATACCTGTTATACTATTTGACTAGATACATTTCTGCAAGTTAAACTAGATTCGAATGAGCAATTTCTATTGTATAGATTCAAATTATAAGCAAATACTTTTTAGGGTCTAGTTAGTCTTCGCATGTTGAGTCAGTGATAATTGTCATCATTTTTTTGCATTGTAATGCTATTAAGTTAACAGAATAAAAATGCTGTGTCTATTGTGTATTTTTATGATTCGATATGTGCTTAGGATTCTGGTGCTGAGAGTGAAAATTCATCTTTGTCTGTAATCAATACTGTGCATAATTCAAAACCAAATTCCACAGAAGGAACCACATCATCTGTGAAGAATTCCGATTGGATTCAAACATCTCGACCAAAACACGACAATTTTGAAAATTCAAAACCGTCATCCTCTTCATCTAGTGATCAGCCGCAACAAAGCTGTCAACAACAGCAACTCCCGGAATCTCGTTCTCGAACATTGGCCGCTCAACAACGTTCATTATTCTCTGCTTTACATTCTCAAAAAAGACGTCTTCCTTTAGGATTATGGTGGAAACTTACACATAAAAAATTTAATCAACCTGGTGAAAATGTAAAAAGTGAATTATGGGATAGACAATTTATTCGACATCAAAAACGTTTTAGTTTACCTGTAAATTGTGGGCCAGTGAGACAACCATCAGGTAAATCTTCAAGAATTGTTTTTCACTCAATTAATTTATTAAATAACCTCACAAGCAAATTATTATTTCACTGATTTGATTAACATAGCAATGGAAAAGTAGCATAGTACTCGAGTTATTTTTGTATGAAATGCAGGTCACTATTGACAACACCAGAAACTAAAAATGTAAGTTATAATAACAATTACATACTACTTAAATGATTCAAGTAGTTTAATAGTCTGAGAAATTAAATTGACAATTATATCTGAAATGATATTGAATGTGAGCTATCTACAGTATTTTATTATGGAGAAATCCAATATGAATACATCTATTCCCTTTTTTAAAATACGAACATCAGTTCATTAAATTGTCAATTTTACTAAACACTAATTATGCTACGTCAATTTTAGGCCCCATCAAAACTGAACTACAATGTAGGTGTCATCAACCATTAACTTCCGAATTATTACAAGAAATTGAACAAAAATTACATGATACTTCATGGATTCAAAAAATTCCAGCTTCTCAAATTTCAAATATGCAATGTATAACTAGTGAAAATAAATTTAATATAGAAGAGATACCAGAAATTTATCGTCGTGGAAGTGAAGCTAGTCAAATGTCAGCATGGGAGCAACGTTTAAGACAAGTAGGTTACTTTTACATAGAAATTTGTTATTCAAACAGTATGTTTAAGTTTTTACAATCACTACTATATATACAACATTTTGAAGACCAAACATCTTACATAGATCTATGTACATTGTTCAACCAATAGATTAAGTTTGATATTGGTTAGAGACCCTGAATGACATGGCTAAAAATCGTCTGCAATGGCGCAGGTGTATCCACTGCTTGTGTTCTCCCGAATTCTAATCTTCTGAATTCTTAATTTCCCTTATTTTCTCTCCAAATTTATTTCACTGGATTATAGTACTTGAATAACATCTTCAAACCCTAACGTTTCCGATTACTGCTTATACTCTTACTACCTCTACCACTACGGAATTTTAGTTGACAACTGCATCTCTGTGCTAATGTGATGTGGCAACCCGAACTGACCTACGTACGTACGTACGAAGTTCTACGTTGTTACTGACTGACTGACACCTTTTAAACCGGTTTTCATTTATTACAAAACAAATTATTTTACTGTAGTGTCTTGTAGTGCTTAATTTGTATATTTTAAAGAACAATAATGTCATAAAATGACATTATAAATCAAACAGATCTAGAAAATGTGAATTATTTGATTTTGGTTCCTTGGATGAAGCACATCGCGATCTTCAAGATACTGTTTTGATTTTTACTTCGACCCTATATTAATGGTATTGAACGTATTTATAAGAGAAAATAATCCACGTCCAATATCTACATCAAAGAGTGGTTACATCTACATCTCCTTTCCTGTGCTGCTTCATTTAATTGATTTAAATAAGCTAAATCAACTTAGATATGTTATTCATTTAACCTATATAGATCGTTGTGTGCTAACTTTAGTACGTGATATATATAATCATATGAATTTTAAGGATAATACATGAAAATTGTTCTTTACTTATTCACTATAATTTTCAAAATCAATATAATAATATATATTTTAAACTATACTCTTTAGTATAATGACCTATATGATCCTGGCGCACATGCTCAAGTGACATCTAGTTTTCATCAAGCAGTTCCTGAAATAGAAGCAGATGAAGACGAAGAAGAGAAATTAGTTTCAAATTATCCATTCTTTACTTCTCCATATACTGATGATACATCTGTTCCAAATACAAGATTAATTACAACTAAATGTCAAGATATCAGTTCATATAATGAAACAATCGATACAGTAACATCAAGAACAAATACAAGTACTCCTCAATTTGTACAATATAAAACACAACAATATTTATCAAGTTCTGTCATAGGCGATAATCCATCAAACCCTATTTCAAATAAACCGTACGATTCACACATAAGTGCTCCAAATGTTTCCCCAATTAGTCAATCAGGTATTGAATTGACTGATTTGAAAACTGAGCTACATAATGTAAGTAAACGGTTTCTAGTTGTAATCTATGATGAGAAAAATGTCTCATTGCGAAGAACTATAATGCTTACTTCTCACTTTCCTCATTTTTCTTATCCATTTGTCTATATGACAAGATGATTCACTTAGCTATAATTGAATTCATTTTGTAAGTCTGAAGCTGAACTTTTGAATGTGTTCTCTTGGGTAACTGATTTCCTACTAACTTTCATAACGTAATTTGTTAAGTTTCAGTTTCATTGATCATCCAGTGGATAAGTTGTAGATCCTCATACATAATAATGTTTAAATTTTTATATGAAAAGTATTTTATATAATAAAGTTCTGTGTCGACTGATATTACATAAAACAAAATTAGTAAGAGCTGTATGTGTAAAATTGTCATTATATAACTCAATTTATTGATAACAATGTTTTTCTGTACAAATGAATGAACATTTACTAATTTTCAAACCTAATAACTCATAATTTCAACTATTTATTATTTACTTTTCAATAGCTTGAAGTAGAAAGAAGTGCTGGACATTCATGTTTTACTGGTGGTATACTGGTATCCTCTATAGAATCATCACGATCGGTAGATGATAATAAAATTCATAAGTCAAATGAATCCACCCATCTACCAGAATTCATATTATCTTCTGAAACATCAAATATACCTTCGTTTTTATCTGATTGTGCCATTAATATGCAACAATCCGCATTACCGATTAAATATACACTTATACCAAATGAACAATCTCCGTCTACTTCTTCTTATACACATCGGTCTAGTAGTGACTTCGATAATAAAACACATCGTCGGGCATCATCTGTCATTGATAATCCGGTAACATTAAATTATTTAATTCCCCCTGACAGAGATATCTGTGAAACTTCAAAGGATAACATTCGTAGGCATAGACATTCTGTTAGCGAAATGGTTGATAATAAACAAAATTCTAAATTTAATTATGAATTTTGTTCCGGTGTAGGCTCCGATGTATTTAATGTTAGTTCAGAGTAAGTTATACAAAATTTTTGAAACTAACCTTTGCGAATTTTTTTTCGATTTTTATTAAAATTCACATTTCATTAATGAAGGATGCATTTTAATATGAAATTAAATTTTCATTGTTTAATTGGTTAATTTTATTCGTTGATCATGTTTATCTCCTACAAAACATTCTCCTGATTATCTATATTAGTTCTTTATACTGCGGTGTATGCTGCTTATGTTAACAGATATAAGTAGTATGTAGCACTAATAGGAAGTGAAATGCTTACCAGCAGAAGTTTAGGAAGATTGAACTGAAGAAAACGGGAAGTGACGCGGAATCAATTGCAATAACAAGAGAATTAGAAGAATCATGAAGTATGTAGAAGAAAACTGAAGAAAGATGTGCTAATTATGTATTTAATGTACGGTTTTCATAATTTACGTTAAACAGTAGATTGGTCTTCCCCACTTAAGTTCTCGTTCACTAAAATACTACGAAGTCTAACTGTTACACAAGTTAACATTAAATAGTCTTATATTAACATAATTATTCGTACAAATAATATTTATGATAATGTCACATTCTCTAAAATGGATGGTTAGTTGTTATCCTTTTGTTATTATTCGACATTTATGTGTCGAACCCATCTTGAATGAAGACTTTTATAATAAAAAATTATAAGCAGCTGAAGTGAATCCATGAAATAGATGAATTCATTTGCTATTTGCTATGGTTACTGTTCTTAGTTTTGTTCATATTTGTCAATGGAAATAATTGTATAAGTTACAAGTTTGTGGTCTACTTCACTTCTCGTCAATCTGAACTATATTACTCTTCATATGGAAAACGTGCGGCCTAATGTTGAGTACAGAAATGGATATTTAGTGACTCAGTTGCAATGAGCAGTATTGATAAACTTTATCTATTCACTACATCAGTTTTCATCACGAAAAGGTACTTGACGTTAACTCAATTTATAGATACATTCTCAATTTCTTACTTAATTTTTCAACATTCATTCTAATTAATCAAATCGATCATTTGAAAATGTAACGTTAATTTCTACTCATCGATCAATCAAGATTTATGAGTGGATTTGTACAAAGGTGAAATTTATAAACCATCAAAAAGACAAAATAACTATCTTATCTAACTTTGTTTCAGCTCAAATAATCACACTTAGATACAATCCGGAAAAAACTAAGCGAAATAGTAAACTAGAAAGCTAGACAGAAATAGTCGAAAGGGATGAATTCATAGTAAGAACTAATCATACAATCAATATTCGCACAACATTATCAGATAAATACATCTAATCCTAGCATAAAATTTTAGGATCGTATTTCACTTGAAACGCATTCCTTACGGTATCTACTTCAAACTACCAGTCGCTCTGTCTGGCTCAACTAGTGCTGTGTTTAGGTCTTGTCCGATTGACTATACGACCATCACTAACACTTAGTGAATCTAAGTCATTTTCATACGCTAAATATTTACTATATATACCCGATTTCAAATCCGTTAAGTAACATCGATTTTCTCAATATTACAAACACTCTTTGTCAGTAAAATAAACTCTAGTTCGTTTGTTTTATTTCTTTCTGATGAAATGTTTGTACTGGTTCCACAGTTTACTCATTTTCGTATGACCTTTTTTTGATCATGATTACCATTATTTTAGATTGCATCAACCTAGAATACATGTGGGTCTGAGTCCGGATTTGGAAAGTACCGAAGTTCAACTACATGATGAGATGAGCGTAAAATCACTTTCTTCCTTTTCCATGGTTGAAACACCAGCTAACACCAATATGAATAATACAGGTATTGGTCAGCGCCTTTTCGAACGATTACATCCTGATCGACCAAACTATCTACATATATTACAACATTCGGGCGGATCATCAGATCGACGTTTGAGTCCTGATTTCCTAAGAAGTCCTCGTAAAAAAGTAAGTTTTTATGCATTTAATTCCTTAATCTTAAATCAATATTTGTGAGAATGCTGACTACAGATTATCCGTTCAATTTCAGCTAAACACATTGTTGAACACATTATCAGGAATATATTTTCTATTTATTAGTTCAGTTAGCTATATCGAAACACAACCTATGGTGGTTTCTATTTCTGCTTACTCAGCCATAACGGTAGACGTCTGTTCACTTTCTAGAATGAGTTTTTAAAGTAAATGACTCCATGTAAGTAGTTAACTTTGTTTGAAATAACCCTAGCTACTCATTTATCATTACTATAAGCTAACTGAATAAGTCTGTTAACAGTCAGTTCTACTGTTACGGAGACTGAATTTATGAAACACTACTTAGATGGAAAATTATTCTAAATAGAGAGTTGCATAAGGTAAACTATTTCATCTACAACTCAGTAAAACATACTGTTTTTTATCCAGCATATTGCTTGGATAGAAGTTTAATTACTTTTTAAGCTACTAATAACGTGTGAGTAATAGCGATTCATGATATTCTTTTTAGGCAATTCAGATATTATTTGTTGGTTATTTGTTCGGTGTGATTTAGCAACTAAAACCCACTTTTCAAGTAGATTTAAATACACTGAAAATGAATGTTTACGTTTAAATCTGTGAGATTGATTACGAGATTTTCTGGTTTTATTTTATTATTACTATTAAAAGATCTATCAAGAATGGTTACCTAAGTTAACTGAATTATCACACAAAGCATTTGATGTTGCTCGCGATAAGATGAATAAAGTCAGAGCCACAACCAATTCACAATCATTAGTTTATAATCTAGTCCATTCAGATATACTTCATCCATCAACACATTGTTATACAGCCAATAAAACAAACTCAATGCATAAAGATGAACGTAATAATGAATGTTGTTTGAGTGATATAATTAATAAATCACAGGTTGGTCAGAATTCCAGTACTACTGGTGTTATTTTACATGAGAAAGATGACAAAGTTAATCTTGGAGATGTTGATCCAGATCCAGAGTTGGATCCAGATATCGATGAGGAAGAAGATGATGAAAAAGACTGTGCTTTAGCTCCACTACAAACTCATAAAATTAACTCAAACAACCCATCGACTCATCATTCATCTCGACAGAGACATAGGATAATGAATCAAAATATTGGACAAAATTTAACCTATCCACAACAGGTAATGCCTTTCTTTCATGGTAATTTACTTAACCCAACTGTTATTCAACAACAGAATCAGAATACATTAATTTCTCAGTTACCTAGTGGTACTACTGGAATTAATACTTATGGTCTTCAAGATTTAGTCGATTTCTCAAATCCACAAGCTTTGCCTGCAGCGGCAGCTGCTGCTTCATTATTACTTTTCCGTTCGAGTGATGATGATGAAGATTTGGCTGCTATTGATCGTGTTAATCAACGTTTAGCTTTAAGTAGATTAACTGGGAATTTTACAGATACAAATCAATTAATAAATGATTATCCTAATCTGCTTGGCCCAACACCTCCTCATCAAACATTAACACCTCAACCGCAATCATTCTTACCACCAACAATACAACCAATTAGATCTTTACCTATAACACAATCAACCCTTCAAACACAATTTCCACATTCCACAACAATAAATGAAGCTTTAGTAAATAGACAAAACAATGTGCTGCATCATGATTCACATAACTATTCCCAATCTTCAACAATTTCAACTAATCCTCATACAATTACAGATATTGATGATATCAATTCACCAATCAATTCACAAGCGCCCAGAAGTTATGAAACTGCATCAAACTATGATCAAAAATGATTATGCTTATTGATGTATGATGCATAATGAGATAATAAGATTAAGAAAATATCATATAGAACACTTATTTTTTATTCCTTTAAACATAACATTGTTTGTCTTTCTTAGTGATTATCAGTTTTTTTTTCTTGTCATAATACTTGACAACTAAAAATGTTTATGAAGTCATCTTTTGTTTTTAATTGCTTGTTCATAAATATCTTAAAAAGGAACAGAAAACACAATTAGTTCAGTCATTTTATTGTACTATATTTGCAGCATTGAACATATTCAGATTAATTAATGTATTTGCCTGCATTTCATTTGATGTTTGCTTGTATCGACTATGGGTCTATATAGTCCCATGAATGTGATAAACTAATCATCATTGTTAAGATTATTCTCAGCATTATATACATATTACATGTATACTGTATACCTGATCATATATTTTTTTTGAATAAACAGAGTAATATCGAAATAATTTGATGATTTTTATGCTTTTTAACTCATTCACTTTATATTCTTATCATTAATATTCAAATCAATTATTTTTATGATTATGTAACTGTTGGTGACACCAGCCTTCATACCCGTAACAGCACACGTGACCAAGTTGGTCATATTCAAATCCTTCCTACACCTCTTCCTAACTTCTGGTTTTGTTTCCATCAAAAGAGAATACTTAAAATACGATGTACTTAGTTGTTTTTTTTTCTTTTTAATAATTGAACCTTGATTTTCCATTGTAAATTTATAATTCAAATGGTATTATGTTTAAATATTGAATGTAAACAGTTCGTTTGTTTGTTTTTATCTTTTGGTGGAGAGTTTTTTATAACATGAAAGTGTAGTGATCAAATTATAGATTATTATCAACCGAATTATGATTGACAATCAAGGGTACTTTGTTCCAGTATGAATGTGATATTCTTTATTGTTTTTATGTTACCAATCGAAATCAGTTCAAAATTATTATCTTTAAATCATGTTATATATATACTTATCAATATCATATAGTGTATTTGATTGTACTTTTAAAACGTCAAAATTATAAATAAACTAGTGGAATTCTTCGAATAATTCAATTCTACATGATTGCCATATGTCTTTCATGATCTCTATGTCATGATTAAACATTGAATGATTGAACTAATTCATAAATGACTTATCTATATATCCATGAATATGGTGTACTATATCAGTAAAGAATAAGCTGAAAACAAGTTTAAATAATAACAGTAAAACGTATACAAAATATATTTTGCAGATATATATATATTAAAAGATTTCATATACACAACATCAACGTGAATGTGGCTTTCATTGGCACATAGAATATATAGAACAATAAAGGAAATAATTTGAAACATGATATTACAAAGAAAGAACATAATTTTACTAAATATCATTACATCTGTTTAACATAAAGAATAGTTTTTTACATAAGACTACATTTCATCACATTTCCTATCGATATAAGCTCATTATATATTCAGTAATATCCTGATTCATTTCTATCAATAAAAGTAAGTTCTCTATCCGATATTGTATCACATTGAAAATAAATAACTGATTGATAGAAGAAAATTCAAATAACTAATGAATAGAAGAAAACGAAAAACAGATATAACACAATTTCATTTACTCTGTTCTAAAACGATAAGCATTTGCCCAAATATCAGATAAACAAACTGTGGAATGAAAACGAAAAAATACAATTAAAGGTAATGCTATATGTGTAATAATTTTCCATGCCATAGATGAATAATAATTTATATGTATACTATGATTATCTGCGTGTTTCACTTCGAATGTATTCACAAACCACATAGCTAAATTTAATACTAATAAAAATGTAATCATTGTACGTCCTGGTTTTTTTTGTACATGTTCTAATGTTCCAGCGCATCTTCGAGATGCTTCCAAGATGAAAAAAACCTAAAATTGAATGAAAAAAAGTGTTAATTACAATGTTTCATTAGGATGAAACGGTATTTTATAAACCAACAACTTAGGATAGTCATTGTTGGACTAAAAAATTGGCTTTATTCCAAAGTTATCCTCGAGAAACTACATCTTGAAATAAAATATTTTAATAAATGTCGTTTTTATATTGAAGTAAACTGGAATGATGTTTCCTAATTGGCTAGATAAACTATTTATAAAAAGAGATTTTGGTCAAACCACCTTATCTTAGACTGATAAGGATATTTGACGCCGTGAGCTATTTATTCTTCTTTTTTTCTCTCCATAATTGATATCAAAGTTCATCATTTCCGGTTTGCTACATATTAATGTGGTGGCATCTCGGTTGTCTGTTTGTTCCTTCTTGTTATTACAACTTGTGGCCTGTGTCCCCTGTTAATTTATAACGTAACGATACGGCCAATTAGAGAACAGTGAATTATCGATCACACCAATGACACATAAAACCCGTGCGAGCAGTCTAGAGCCCTTATTGTTCCTGCTTACTGCCTAGCCCAGCCAATTAAGTCCAGAACACTAATCTCAGCCTCTGCGATATGAATCGTTTATTTCAAACATACTGGGTTTATATACCAACCAGACAGGTCACATCGTATCATCAAAATAGGAAACAACATTTGCACAAGGTTTGGTCAAATGTGGCTGTGAATTTGGGAGGTAGTGATTAATAGACAGGGAATAATCCAAGAATAGTAAATCGTATAATAATAGTTCATAGGTCAAAATAAAGCTCATAATAAGAGGTATATGAGTGTGAATAGTTTAGTTATTTAGCAATTATACGATAAAAATGTACGCATATTATAGGTTCATAATGTGATCCCAAAAGTTACCATTCCTTATGCTTGTCGGGACATAACACTTGTCATATAAACATTTTAATAAACAGCATGTAGAACTTACGGTGTTAACATAGTTTGCATAGATGTATCCTAAAAACATTATCTAACTTCATCAAGTAAGCTAGCTGATCTAATGCTTTGACAAGAAGTTTCGTAATGATAAAGAGTACTATGATTTATTAATGGTACGAGTTGCTAGCTTAATTAGACCAATGATAAAGTACTTACGACAAAAACCAAAGAACTTGCCTTGACACCAGGAAGAGTTGATGGCTTACATTGAGAAAAAACAACTATATATTTCCCACCGATTATCAGTGGTACCTCAATGGAGGTCTCACTGTGAGAATTACTAGCTCAAAACTAATCATTACGGCTTCTACATATGATTGAATTTTTTCGAGGTTGAAAAAGTTACTTCAAGCTTAAAAATGCAAGGCAAATATGAATCATTTGTAGCGTCCAGAAAGCTGTATAAAATTTTTTTATCAGTGAAGCGGTTATATGAGATAACATTTTTATGAGTATTCTAATCTGTTTAAGTATCTGTAATCTACGAGCGCCTGTTGTTTGGTATATCACTTATAAAATGACTTGTTCGACAGCATAATTTACACAAACGATAAAGTAACATATCCCCAAAAACGGTTCATCTTTTGAATGATGTTATTATATACTGGTTTTCCAATCTCCATAATACCACTTAGAATCTACGACTGGAGAATAGATTCTTTAAACATAGTTTGAGAGTACCTAACAGAATGTCACTTATCAACTAAATGATAATCCGTGTAAACGTCTTGAATTATGTGTATCAATACTGACTGAAGCTGAAGTAAAGTATTTTCAATTTAGCTATCATTCATAATTCACTTTGGGAAAAATGTAATTTTAATTGTTTCCTCGATGCGATTTAGTAAATACTAATTTCATACTGTGTATGCCTTACTGCAGTTGCTTTTACATTTCACAACCAACTTTGGCCACAGAATAACGGTTGTTCTAGTTCATGTGATTCTTATAGCTGGATTCAGACACCGATATTGTACAACATTCTTAGTTCATATTTGTACACAATTTAGCAAATAAATGATTGGTTTACAAAATCATATAATCTACCAAGATTGTATGGTTAGTTGAATTCCAATTTGGTTTAGCTTTAGTGAAGTAACTCTGTCATTCACTAAATCATCACTTATTTATAAACTGTGAATACACATAAACCTTTAATGTGAGTATTCATCATCCATAGATTGCCACACAGTTTACCTTCTTCGTGACTTAAACGAAAGTATAATTGAGTCAAGCTGTAGATTATATCCAAAAACACAAAAAGGGTTTATTAATATTACTACCATCAATACAATTTATTTGAAGAATACAAAATCAAAAAACGCTTACTTGTAGCATAGACTGAATCATTTCCATGATAGCCTTAGCCGCATATAATTTGGCTGCAATTACACCATTCGGTATAGCTTCTAAAGCGGGCACTAATAGGAATAAATCATAGAATAACATCCCAACCAAACCAATCAATAATAAATTATCATCAAACGCTACTTCTTCGGACAGATCACTTAATTTCAGTGCTTGTAAACGAAACAAACTAATTAAACATGTCACTGTACTAACAGATAATAGAACTAGTTCAGTTCCTTGATATAATGTTATAGCTGTATTCCGTCGATCACGTTTCACAATAAATATAAAAAATAGACTCATTGCAACTAATGTTGCCATAAATATTAATAGGCCAACAAATAAACCTTTATGTGAACGATGACATTCAGAGAATTGACTTGTTTTGGGATTAGCTTTACGCAATTTTTCTAAGCGTTCCGATTCTTTACGTACATGTCCAACTTTTTCAAACATTTTATAAAATATTGCACCAGCTATTAAGCTATATTCAATTGCACATGGAAACAAATATGGAGCCAAATATTTGACTGTTATTCCACAACCTGAATATAAAATCAATACAAACGAAAATAGCGAAGGAAAAGTCTAAACGTTGAGAAGACATTATTAAACATTAGACGAATATCATAGAACAATATAGATATTTTGCCCAACGGTATTCGTAAGTTAGATGCAAACAAATTGATTTCCTGTATCATAGATTAAGTACCCCACTAATGGTGATCTACTTTTGCTCAGCAATGCATGTTTGATCCCCCATTTTCATTTACTGTATCTTTATTGACTGTAACGATATTTGTGCATGGATGATATAAATCATAATATTTAAATCGAAAGGGCTTAGGACTAAGTTCACTAGATCCAAAATGCTATGACAAAACGAATAATATAATTATTCCAAGAATTATTTTCACAATTCGACCGCGTGAAAATGATCAGAATTGGGTTTTGGAAATTGTTGAATTTCACTGAAATCATGAACTGACCTAAGTTAGAGAACCAGTGAAAATCAGAAAGCCCTGAACGATCTTGTCGTCCTAGTGTGAGACTCTTCAACAGATCGTTGCTAATGGAGCTCATCGATGTCAAGTGTGAGGCAGTTACTGACCAAACAAGATGGCCGTGCATTACTTGACGTTAGATACCGAACACCGTTGGATGCCGGTTCAGTAGTCTCGAGGTTAAGCATTAGCGTGCGATACCGAAGATTCTGCATTTGGTTTCGGTGTGCGGTGTCGTTGATATGTACTGCTGAGGTAACCGATACTATGATAAAACGACCATCCAGCACTTCCAGGTTTCGATGATGGTCTAGCTTGGATATGTTTATGATTGCAACGACATGTGAATTAGCTATTACACAACCCAAGTATTTTTGAATTAATTACTGCAAGAGATTATTTTGGGTTGAACGGACCAATCTCTAAGGTCACACTGTTACAACTGTTTTCAGCTGGATGAGAAAGTTCTTAGAAATTCCATTAAAGTTTTCATATAAAATGTTTATGTGTATTATTTATCCCCAAAAGTTTAATTTTTTTCCTTTTGTTTAAATTCGAAATAAGATTTCTTTCAGTCTCTTTTGATATACGTAATCTACCAACATGTTTTCGATCAAACGTTTATCAAAACTTTGGCTTACAATCGAATCCTACATGCTTGTTTCCTCCTATTTCGGAAACACTAAACGGAAGTTCATATACTCCAATGTTATCGTTTAAGTACCTATCGCTTTAAATGTAAGCACGATGTTCACTGTGTTACCAAGTTTAGACAATTATGGAATTCTCTAACGGGTAGGATATTTTTAATGAGCTGAAAAGCTTGCCGATATTCAGGATTGAATCAGATTTGTTTCTGTCGCTAGCTTTCACGATTCCATAGCTTATTGGTTAACTCATCAGTATTCGAAGTAATAGGCAGTAGGCTTAAGTTTCAGTGCGAAAATCAACACTAAAATGTAAATATATCCACACATACCTAACACTGCTTGTTCAGCTGCATGAATAGTTGAGTTATCATAACTTGTATGGTGAGATTTTACATTAGCATGATGTTTTTTTCTATTTAATAAAACGATATTTGCTAAATTAGTCAAATTATAAGTTGATAACTTTTCTCCATTTGTATATCCATACAAAGTTGTATTATTATGTGGTATTTTTGCGTCTAAAAAATATTCCGATGGAAAAACTATAGTCGAATCCGATATTAACTCTTCATCATGTCCTGGTTCACTACCAATTTCATCGACAATTGTTTTTAACCATTGACATAAATTAGCCACAGCCAAATGACATAAAAGAAAACGTAAAACAAATTTTTGTACATTGAATACAACCTAATTAAAAGAATAAAATGATAATGAATAAATGATTCGGAATAAAAATATATATATATTCAGAATGAATACCATGATAACATAGAATGAGGTAGTCAAATTAAATATGAATTTAAACAAAACAATTTAT